TTGCACGATCTGCATAAATATAGTCAGTGGGATGAAATCTAAAGTTTGTTGAGTCTGGTATAACGGCTCGGTCAGGGATTTAATAACCTCGCTAAAATTACACATGAACGTGCTGATTTATGTAAACAGGGACGCGCGAATCTCAGTCAAAACTTCAGGGTGAGGTAACTCGCTGTGATTTAGAGATAATATCTAGTCGCACTCTCGTTGTAAAGTAGCATACAAGGTGCATATACCGTTGCATGCACGTTGGCGCTGACGGGCTCGTGTTGCAGATAAACGACAGGCGTTGTATGAAGATAAACGACACTCGCTAGAAGAAGATATTTCACGACGTCTGCATGCACGCGCCAAGTAACACACCGTGTCTCAGGACGGTTAGAAGTGTTACGACTTCATTCCGCATGAGATGCATTTCTTGTGGCGGCCGGCTCCCCTCTTGTAAAGTCATTTACGCACAAAGGCGCTCAATTAATTCTCAGAAACAAAAGCGCCAATCACTCTGAACGAAACTCGCGCGTAAAAGGCGCTTTTGTGCGCCAATTTTACAATTAAATTACGCATGTATCAAACTTCATGTCGTTCCATTTGTTCTTTGTATCTCTTGTCTCACGCACGCAAAATGGTTATTAATTAAAACGTACCAGCAACTTACTGATGTAACGGTAATAATAATATCCCGATAAATCACGTAATGTTTGACTCCTAAACGGTAATATTGCTGCGGTAATCAATTTTAATATAATTCATTAGTTTAATTCTTTTCACATTTATATAACGTTGTTTCTTTTGTGAGTTTCGCCTTTTTAAATTGAATTTTTTTAGCATCCTACTGCAAGCTATTTTCATATTGAAATGTACGTAGCGGCTTTTTACAAGTTCAGCCAACTAATTTTTATGTATTGATACTTTGATATCGGGATCGGATAAAAGACGGGAATAGCTGCGTTCGGCATTGCAAGTCTGAGGCGTCGGAGTGCTACATCCAGAAAACCGTTTGTTTGAATTTTGATCTTACTAGACTTTTATTTAATTTCACAGAAATTATTTCCTTACCTTAACCAAAATTTTAGACGACTGTGACTGGAATTTCTAAGAGAATTCATATCTATTTCTTCAAATCCAGCAGATGTGTTAGTAGAAGCAAATAAAAATTCAGTAGATTCAAAGAAACGCGATTTCGACGTTATCTCACTTGTTCAGCCTAACTAGATCGTTTTTCTGGGTGTACTTTTGCATTCGAGTGAACGAGAGAGGTGAATGAGATAGGTAGAGAAGAAGAGCACTCCGATGCCTCAGATTTGCAATGCCGGACGCAGCTTACGAATTCCCACTGAACGGCAAAGTAATACTTTATTGACAAGTACTAGGCTACATAATTACTTGGAAGTTTTTCAAATTGTTTTCCTTTCTTCTTTAGTAAACATATACGTTGTGGACATGAATCTTCACGAGCAAATAAAGAGGCGGTTAACAAGATTACCTTAGCGCAATTTTAGCACTGAAACGGATAGGTTTTAGCTCACCCTGAACATTTTCACAGAGAACTAAAAGGGAAAAGGATCCCGTGTTAACATCAACGGTATTAGAACACGCGTGCTCGCTCTCTAACGTGATCGACGTAAGCCGGTGGACTCGCCGGTTCTTTGCTTTGTTCACGAAGTCAAGGTCTAGATCAGCGGCTATGCCGCGCATCGCGCCGGCGAGTGGAAGCGCGCTTTCCGATCCTTTTCCTTCGACCACGTCGCGAATACGCGATCGCGCCAAGAACCGACGGCGATCTCAATGACGAAATCGAGAACGCGATGGCGGGATGATTTCCTCAAGGTCTCGTCGCAGCTCCGAAGGAAAAACGAAAGGCAGGAGCGGTTCCACGTTCCGCAGCTTCCATCCGCACGCACGCATTTTTCTCGCAGGCGCGCACGCGCAACGTACACCGCGACGAATATCTCGGTTTTTCGCCGCAGGACTGGTTCCTCGAGATGATGTCCTTGGAGGACGATACTCCCGAGAAAGGGTAAAAATGCATTGTGCGACGTGGCTTCGGTGTTTTTCAAAGAGAATAAGAAAATCTCTCGAGATGACAGGCTAAACTTTGAATCTGTATAGCTTTAATTTTTATTTAGCGATGTAAAAAAAAAATTAATCGAATGGGGAAATAATAAAAGCAAAAGTATCTGTAAACATTTAGAAGAAAATTAAAACTAAAAAGAGAAAAAGTGGAGAAGGTCGAGGAAGAAAAGTCCAAACTCTTGGTATTTTCTTTGTAAAGATAAATATATGAAAAACAGTATCATAAAAATGAAGAGAATTTCAAGGTGCCTATGAAAGAAAACGACAAGTACAAATATGATAATAAGAAATTCTTTAGCCGACGATACTCATCAGCGTATTAAAGTATCGAGAGACTTCGTTAGTTGAGAAAAAAAATGAGGTAGAAAATTTGTAAGTTTTCTCTAATTATGTGGAGCTTCCATGGACGACTGTTGCAATGTTGCACGCTGCTGTACGAGAGGTAGTGATAGAGAGCCACGATTATCTTATGTAATTTAACTAGAGCTGCTTGCGTCAGTGCGCGACGCACCTTGGCGCGAAGTCTGGAATAAACCATCACACGCGAGCTATTCAAATAGATCAAACGTTAAAGTGCCGACTACGATGAATAGCTGCGCAATATTGTACACAAACATTTTTATGCAGTAATTACAAACTAGAGATAATTATTCCTTCAGCTTCTTGTTGCTAAGAAAACGCGAGTCCGTAACAAATGCTGTTACCGGGGGGGGGGGGGGCAAGAAAGTCTCCCAGAAGGAGTCCCTTCGTCGAGGGAGACATCCAGCCTCGAGAATTCGTTGTCCTTATCGTTTCTTATCGAATGGAGACTACGATGTCCTTATCGTTTCTTATCGAATGAAGACTACGATGAGGACGACGATGACAGTCGCAGCGTATCAAACATGTGCGTTTATCTCCCGGCTGGCGCCTTTCGCTTTATTACAGCGCAATGCGCATCGCGGGCGGGTCAACGACCCGATTTCTGTGTGTGATCTTGCGTGGCCTTGGAAGACAGGCCGGATGTTGCGAGACTGACAAAGAGGTTTGGCACTGCGGCGAGAGAGAGCGAGAGAGCGAGAGACAGACAGACATAGCGAGAGAGAGAGAGAGAGAGAGAGAGAGAGAGAGAGAGGGGGGGGGAGGGAGAGAGGGAGGGAGAGAGAGCGAGGGACAAGTCACGAGCAACCTATGAAAAGTTCGAGGCCGCCATCGGCTTCGTGAAATACCCAAACGGGCCGGTTATATCGTATTATATCGAGCCAAATTTCGAAAGTGTTTATAATGTTGGTGCAAGCGTTATGATTTTCCTCATATGTTCTAGAAGTTAACACGCACCTGAACAGTGAAAGTAAATTTTTGACGATAAGAAATTTCGAGGTAAAGCGACGCAAGGGGTAATAAGCGACGTTGGCAAACGAATTAAATTAAAATTTGAGAAATATTTTGTAATTGCGCGATTTTTAAGGTGGCCAAGTGTAACGCATACGCATGCAAATGATTAACAGAAAAAGATTCTGTTATAAAATAGTATGCGACGTTCATGGAAGCTTGTTCATATACTTGTCATTTCCCTCTCACTATGTACAGTTCACTGTTGTTGCCAAGTCAAAATTCAAAAATAAACCAACCGTAAAACCGTAGAGAATGCTCAAGTGACGTTGCCGTTTACTTAAAAACATTAACAACATTAGAGACGGAACGATATCGGAATGCATTAAAAATGTAATTCTATAAATTAAGTATTACTATCTCAAGAGAGAACATTTGGAAAAACTGTGTAAGGTGGAATTGCAATCATTGCAAATGCCATCTATGTAAATTATATCTGTACGTATAATAGACGATAGGACAATAATATATTATATATTTATAGTCTTCACATTTTGGTTGTCTCGTGAACGGTGCATAATTTAGCTCCTATCTGCGTAGAGGTAATGCTGCCTACAGCAAATAAATGCTTGATTAGAAGAAAGTTCCTCGGTGCGAGTCGGATTTAACTTGCAATTTGCATGTGCTCTCAAAGGAGCCGAATCGTCGTTGACAAGATAGACGAAAGATGCTTTCTCCCCCTGTCAAATATTTACGATCCTCGGCAGCCTAATTTCTCGCGTTGAAGGGTGAAGGGTCCTACGTGTACAGGGTTACGAACCTGCGTATGTTCGAACGCGAAGAAAAGCGGAGAGGCACGGGCAGACAATGAACAATCGTACATTGTTACGAGTTATAGCATTGTTACTCCACCGAGCTCGGGTCCCGTGTTCACATAATTAGGCTGTAAACGTTTCAAGACAATCACCATTGTTTTCCGTCTCTGCCCTCCTGGATTAAGGTTCCCTGCTGTCCTTTGCCAGTAAAACGAGCGCTTTGGGATACCTCGAAAAAGGAGCAGATCGAGATGTACAAAAATTCCAAAGGCTATACTAAATTGCTTCTGTTTTTCTATGTCCCCAACTGCCGTATCTAATGCATTTGTGTGCACCCACACTGATAAGAAAAATATCTTAATCCAAAAAAATATTACTTTACTCAAGAAAATTATTCATTAGGTGGCTCCTAGTAGCTTATTAACTTAAATTTAAAAAATAATTAAAATTATAATAAAATTAAGATAAAAATTCCAAGGAACTTTTTTCTGGGTGCACGCATTCTACAATTGCTAATGACTGAAGTAATAGTTGTCATCAACATACTCGTACTTTTCCCTTTTTGCATATATGATTCCGTAAACGAGGAAATATTCAAATAAATTATAGCGAGACTCAGATAATATTTTTGCTAACGTAGAAACATTTAAAAATAATTACTTAATAAAAGGCCACACACACACACATGTGGACGCATGATATTGTTGAAATTCTTGCCCGGTTGTTTTGTCTAGCAAACTACGTGTGTCACGTAGTGGTTTCGGATGTTATACTCCGAATTAACGTGCACCTTGGTTATACCGAGGCGGATGGTATGATGGAGGAAGATCGAGATAATCTGAAACTCTGGTAACCGAGAAGCAGTGATGCCTACTATGCTTCTCTGCATGGCAGTCGAGCGCGTGGAGGGGGTAGAGTGGAGGTAGCCTCTCAGCGCTCGGATGCAGAGAAGTATAGTATGCATAGGCATCACTGCCGAAAAGAGCTCGTGCTTCAAGATAGTCGATAACACGTGATAGGACAAAAGACCCCTGCCACAGCTTCCAGAGCATGTGTCATGGGACTTCAACTTCTTCCGGGAAAATGTTTCCCTTTTAAAAATATTTTTTGTCCAGTCATCAAGTGGCGACTGCGGCAACATTTTTCGTGGCTTGAAAGGTTTGTCACAAAAATGTTACGATACCTTGGGAGTCATCTCGGATTCCATATTATCTTATGATCTTGGATAGAATACATTTTCGAAAGAAGTGACCACTCAATTCTGAAAAACTCTTGCTGAAAATATATTTAAAAAAATACGAAAGGAGGTGCATAGGGCTGTGAGAGTCAGAACGCGGTTGTTGGCGCGTAAAGTCAAAAGGACTATCTTTAATATATCATAAAAGAGATAATTAATATGTACATTTCGACTTTTTTTGAGTCATCCTCAGCAACTTCGGACCGATGAAATAAAATGTCTCATCCTATGCTCCACGTGGGCTCCAGGATATGTGGACAGTTTAATTTCATGATGGTAAACATGAAATGGTAAACTTGATACGATACGAGAGACGAGGAAGAAGACAAGATGGTGGTATAGAGACGACTGTGGACCGACGTGAGAAACGTGCGCAATAAAAAGCATTGTTATTAAGGGTCTTCATTGCATTCAACAGCCCACCACAATATTATTTGTGCTGCACCGTGCATACTGTCATATCTCCTTCCAATCGATTTGGAAGCGGCTAGGCGCACACGCGCCCGGATTGAGACATCGCGAGATACGGTGGTACAGATAAGACGGCAGAGAGGGGACGGAGGAAAATCGTGGAGCGGAGGAACGAACGGAAGAGTGACTCCGCGCGCCGCTCTTAGTGGAAATCCTTCATTTCCTCGCGCAATGCGACGCGACGCATCGGTCCGAAACTATGTAGATTGCAGGCTGGAGAACTGGGCGGGAGGAGGTGGAAGGTGAGAGGTAGCGGAGAAGATAATTTATTGTTATTCTGGACGGTGTGTTCGATGACGCTACACATTTCCCAAGATGGC